TAGCCCAGCCTGTGCCCTCTCGCAGTCTGGGACCCCTTGGGGGTGACAACTTGCTGGCTTAGCCCTGCTCCCCAGGGGATTGGGCCTAAGATGGCAGTCAGACATCCCTCTGGCAGCCTGGCCGCCCTTGGGGGATGCCCACTTGCCAGCAGGGAGCAGACCTAAGCTGCAGTCAAACATCCTTAGCGCTGCTGAGGAGGCAGGAGAGGCTCCCACCACCACCACTGTACTAGCAGCCATCAGCCTGGCTTGTGGCTGAGCAGAGCTCCCCATGTGGGAGCGCCCTGACCACCAGAGGGCAGCTCCTGCATTGAGTGTCTGCCCCCTGGTGGTCAGTGTGTGTCATAGTGACCAGTCATTCCCAGTCTTTCTGCTGTTAGGGTCAGTTTGCATATTACCCTTTTACTATATAGGATAGGGGCCTGGTGCACGGGTGGGGGCTGGCTGGTTTGCCCTGAAGAGTGTCCCGGATCAGGGTGGGGGTCCCGCTTGGGTGCCTGGCCAGCCTCAGTGAGGGGCTGATGGCTGTTTGCAGCTGGTCGCACCCCCTTCAGAGTGGGGGTCCCAACTGGGGTGCCTGGCCAGCCTGGATGAGGGGCTGATGGCTGTTTGCAGCTGGTCACACACCCTTCAGGGTGGGGGTACCCACTGGGGTGCCTGGCCAGTCTGGGTGAGGGGCTGAGGGCCCTTTTCAGGCTGGCGGGTGACTGAAGCTCCCAGCCTCTCCTTTTTTTCTTTTTTTCTTTTATTTTGGGATTTATTTACCTTCTATGGCTGTCACTGGAGCTGAGAGCCGGCTTTAGCTCTGAGGCCGGCTCCAGCTTGAGGCCTCGGCTGCTGAAAGCAGGAATCTAGGGTTTGTTTGGGTTCTATAATTGCATCATTGTTTTGGTCCTGCTCGCTCCAGCTCTGACGGCTGAAAGCGGGTATCTGGGGTTTGTTTAGCTTCTATAATTGCAACATTGTTTCTTAGAGTGCAGCTCAGAGGCCGGCAAGGCACACGGGGAACCTTGGCTTCCTCCATCACTGGAGCAAGCAAGCCTCCTGTTTGCTTCAGTTGCCTGGCTGCCAGCCACCATCTTGGTTGGCAGTTAATTTGCATATCGCCCTGATTAGCCAATGGGAAGTGTGTCAGAGGTACGGTTAATTACCATGTTTGTCTATTATTAGATAGGAGGATAGCACTTAACTAGAATGAGATTATAAAGAAGGTAATCTTCCTGCTACACAGAAGTAAAATGAAAGAGCCTTTACATCACAATTTATTCTACTTTTTCTTATAAAGAAAAATGTGCATTACATTGGAAATTTAAACATTTCAGATTTCTGCCTGTAATAGTTTAAAGCATGAAAAGACATCATTATGTTCTATTTTTACATGAGCTGCAACTTACTTAAAGCAGATTTGTTGCTGAGAGGTTATATATTGATGGAATGTTCATAAATGCTACCTTAAATCACAATGTAGTGGAACTGGTTAGGCAAAGGATTTACATGGACAGTACTTAGTAAAATGAAAATTCTTGCAATCAAAATGTTTAACAGCCTCTGAAGATGCCCTTTTGTTTTCATTTGGATTTCTATACCCTGGGTTTCTTGAAGAGAGACTAGTCAGCTTAGTTGATTATAGCAGAGGTTTTTTCCCCTTAAAATTAAGTGAACATTTTATGTGTATGTGGTTTTTTTCAGGGAGACAGCCCTGGTTTTCATGAGATTCTAAAAGGTGAGCTTTGACCCCATCCAAAAAATAAGGCCTAAGATTGCTGGGTGAGGGTACATGGCTGATGACCCCAGGCTCTGGACTCTCCTCCTGCCCCAGTCGTGCCCTTGGCCAGCCACGCTGTGCATGGCAGAGCCAGCCTGGACCTGAGTCACATTCTGTCTGCAGGAGAGGACTGGTGGGGCCACCTCGAACTCCTTGCATCAGAGGAAGTGGGTGATATTCTCCTGTGTAACAGGCGGTTTGGCTGCTGTCTGTGTCCAGTAGTGTTCCGCCAAATCTGGGTCCACCTGGAACCTATGAGTGGGACCCTGTTTGGAAGCAGAATCTTGTAGAGGTAATCCAATTGAGATGAGGTCATACTGGGTAGGCCCTAAGCCAATGACTGGTGTCCTTATGAAAAGAGGGAAATTTGGGCACAGACACAGGGAGGATGCATGTGGATGAAGACAAAGCCACAGAGCAGCAAGGTTGTGGAACCTCCCAAGCTGAAGGGCCCACGAAGAATGCTTCCCTACCAACACCTTGACTTTGGACTTACAGCCTCCACAAATAAACCTGTGAATAGATTTTTGTTTTAAACCTTTTAGTTTGTAGTACTTGAAACTAACATAGTTGCTAATAACAGATTTTTTTAAAAAAAAGTAAAATAAACAAAATTAGTAGGTTATTGCTTTCTAAAATAAAAGAAGCCCAGAGGTAGGCAGTCTGAGCAGGTATAACAGCTCCAAGATTTACCCAGCCCTAGGCTCCTATGGCTTTATGCCCGCAGTTCTGAGGCTGCGATCCTCCTCTGCATGTTTGCAAGGTGGCCCATGGTGCCCCTGCCAGCACTTCAGCAACAAAAGTGAGGAGTGTACAGGCCCCAAAGGTGCAAACCGAGTCAGTCCCCCATGAGGACTGGTCAGGTAGCTCCGGCAAGGGTCTTATCTCACACCTCATTGGCCAGAGCTGTGTCACATGATCGACTTTGACGGAAAGGGCAAGTGTGTGCAGCACTGCCCTAAATAAAATCTGGGACATGTTGGTGACAAAGGGGTGGAGATGGAGTCAGGGTAGCCCACCAGCAGCTCTGCCACCTCCATAGACCCCAAGGACAGGGCAGCAGTGAGGATCTGGGCTTGTTGGCTGCTCATGCTCTTATCCAGAGAGAGCGCATGGGGAGTGGCCTTCAGAACATGGAGCTTTATTCCTGCGTAGGCCTGTAGTGAAAGACGGCCCCGTTCCATTTCCCAGCACACTCAGCCCTTCTGCCTTCCCCACCTTCCAGTCTTCTTCTTTGAGCATCACCACGCATCTCTTGGCAGGCTCGCAGCAACACAGGGCATCCAAAAGAGGAGGGCTGGGGCAGCTTGGCTCAAGGGACTTTTAGGCAACATGGCCAGTATGGCGTTGTAAGATCTCAGGTAGACACTGATACTTCTGTCGTGGGTTGGTAAATCTATACTCTCAATGCAGGAGTGTGCAATCTTGTTCTGAAGTTCCCTTCCAAGGCTTAAACTTGCCAATTAAAGACAGCTCCCTTTCTTACGGGTTAACCGTGCCCAGTGTTTCTCCACTCCGTCTCTTCTCCTTGCCAGATGGTGTCAATGTCAAGTTTTGGGGATGGCTCGCATGTGTCTGGTGTTTGAGGAAGGCCTCTGAGTGCTCTGGGTCCTGCTGGCCTCTAAGGAGAGCTCAGTTCCCATATATTTCTGGGCCTTTGTCCCCACTGGAGCTGCTGACTGCCCTATTGGCCTGTCGCCTATGACCCTAAGTGCCACTGCTTTGGGGGCGGGAGCCAGGCATTTTGGCCAAATGCTTTGGCTTCCACAGCCGACTATCCAAGTGGCAGGCAGGAGACATCACACTTGTTTTGTTTTTATTTTTGTTTGTCATATTTCCTCTTTTCCTGCTTCCCTCCCCCAATTTGCTAAGTCTGGCCTCCAGAGGCCTCCCCTCCATTAGTTCCTTGGACCCAGGAAGCCCCGTGCTTCCTACAGAGGTGCTGGTATTCCTGCATCTGTTGGTGGAGCTTCCTCTCGGGGTCTGGGAGCTGGGAAATCTGTCCCACCTTCAGCTCAGTGGGGCAGAACCCACTGTTACCCTTGGCCTCAGACCTCTGCTTTAAACACCAGAGCAGCCATAAAAACAAAAGTAACCTTTGCAGTCCTCTCAAAGGCCCACAGAACTGTTACTTGTTAATTTTCTGCAGTTGGTTGTCATTAATGTCTTGTTGAGTGCGTTTTGTGTGTGTTGTGTGTTTTTTTTTTTATTGAGAGAGAACAAATTGTTACAGGCTTTTAAAGAAACCAAAAACATTTGCTCTCTAATTATATCTATTATTCCATTCCCATTCATCATGCTTTCTTGTTTTGGAGCAGGCCTTTCATTACAAAGTACAGTCAGTCACGTTTTCTGAATAAAGAAAAGCTTCTGATTTTCTGCTAAAGGGTGTGAGAGGGCTTGTCAGCATGGTTCAGACTTATTCTTATTGAAGATTCTAATAAATTGTCAGCCTGGACTCCTGTTGATATGAGTCCTTGCCTTGACCCTTACTGGAAATGCTTTGGGGAAATAGTTAGAATAGCAGTGTTTTGAAATGCAAGTTCCAGGAGTGTTTCTGCATGTTTGTTCATTCAGTCAGTCAGTCAGTAAATACTCATTGTGTACTTGAACACACCAGGCATTATTCTAAAGGCCGGGAGTTTATGTTCTATTGAGGGAGATAGACAACAAATAAACCAGCAAAAGCACGTGATAATGTCAGATGGCGACAAGTGCTTACTATCAGTATAGTCGAAGAGATGACTCCGTAGAGAGCCCAGGGTGGCCTGGGCTACATTAGTTGGATGGGCAGGAAGACTGCTCTGAGGAGGCAATGCTGGAGCAGGGAACGGAGCCAGGAGGAGAGGCCAGTCTGCATGGATTTGGGGACAGGGCCTCCAGGCCAGGGAGCAGGGTGCTGGCTCTGCCTCTCCCACTGGCAGGCAGAGAGCAAGCCAGGAGTGATACACAGCTCCCTTGACTGTCAGGGGCACTCATGGAATTAAGGAGGCCAGGGGAGACAATGGGGCAGCTTCAGAGCAAGTGGCTAAGAATGTGGCATATAAGATCTTCTGAACAGGGCATGTTTTAAGGCCATAAAAACTAAGAGAGCCGTTTGGCAGAACATCCTTGGTGGAAATCGTTGCTGCGAAATTTGGCAAAAAAATTCTCAAGCTTGTCTGAAGTTAGAGTATGGCAGCAGATAAGTTACACTCAGAACATTAGTTATAAAATACCGTTCTTCTATTTTCAGTAAATATTCAAGATATGATATTACAAGAAAATTTGGAAAAAGAAGATCAAATTCTGGTTTCGCTGGCAGGATTGAAACAGGTATGCCCACAGATCTGACTTTGTGTCCCAGGGCCTCCGTTTTTATTTCTGTTGGGAGGGCACCCTCGGGCATGGCGTGCCATGACATTAAAGCTGCGTCTCCCCACCCCAGCCCCCCCTGCCCCCCAGACAGAGCCCCTCCTGGGTCTCCACCTCCTGTGCCTCTCGCTCCTCCTGGAGATCCTGTCTGACTAGCCTGAAGCCCAAACTGACTTTCCATTTCCCATCCCTGCCCCTTCCTCGCCAGAGCTGTGTCGTGTGGTCCAGCATCCCGTTCAGTGACATCCATAAATACCAGTGTCCTTGGAGCACAAGTCTTACTCCCTGCAGCAGGCCTCAGACCCCCAAGGGCTACAGTTCAATGGCCCTTAGGACCCTTTAAGGGCTACAGGGAATGTAAATGTCAACGAAAACTGTGCTGCTCTCAAATGTCAGGTGGAGTGGAGCCCGTGAGGAGCCGAGGGCTGTTCAGTGGGGCTGGGTGTGCAGGCAACTGGTGCTTCCTGCCTTGAGTTAACCGCCGAGGAGGTGACACCCATGCCTGCCCCTGTGAGGACCTGGCCATTGAGACTCTTCCATTTTCCTTGGTCATTAAGAAGTCAATGGCTGTGATAGAGTTGGATTTTTCTCTGCTACTTCTTTCTGATGGCAATACATTGATATCCGTACTATAAAAAATTGTCAATGACAAGTCTGGTTTCAGTGTATCAGAGATTTAGCTAGCATTTAAAAACAAACTAATTTATCTTTCTCATTTATTTTCTTCTTCTTTGAAAATAGATCAAAGACATTCTTAAAGGTTCCCTGCGTTTCAACCAGAGCCAGCTGGAAGCCGAGGAGAATGAGCAGATCACCATCTCAGACGACCACTACAGCGGTCAGGGCCAAGGCCAGGGCCACAGTGGCCAGCTGCCCGGGGCCACCAAGCAGGTACAGAGCTCTGACAAATGGTGTCACATTTCGGGGGCACAGTCACATAAGTTCTTCAAAGTTACGAATCATAAAATCCCTACTGAAGTCCCTTTAGATCACCATGTGCGAAGTTCACCTGTGCAATACCACAAGTGGCCTGGGCCCAGGTTGCTGTATACAACCTTGCAGGCTGTACACTCTGGTGCCCTGGGGTGGTGCCAGTCACAGTGATAGCAGTTAGGCTAGTGCCTCCCGGAGCTGTGCAGTGCACCCCACACACCTTTACGCAGCAGCCTTGGCCTGACCGCCTGCCGGTCCCATGGTGTGGGGCTGGAACGCCAGGTCTCTGCCTCAGTCATTGGCCAGTTGTCTCCAGCTGATGCCTTCATCCCTGTAGCACAGGACATGCTGCCCATGCCTTCCTAATGCTGTCCTGGTGTGTTTCCCTCGGCAGAACCCTTTTTGCCTTCATGGAGAAGGACGTTGCATTAATGTCCATCCTCTGAGGCAGAGAGGTCGGCAAACTTTTTCTGTAAAGAGCCAGATAGTAAGTATTGCAGGCCACATAGGGTCTCTGTCATATGTTTGGTTTTGTAGTTGGTGTGTTTGTTTGTTTCTACAACTCTTTAAAAATGTGTAAGCCATTCACAGCTTGAGCTGTGCAAAAACAGGTTGCAGGTGGGATTTGGCCTGTAGGCTGTAACGTGTCTACATTGTGTATAAGCTATTCTAACAGAAAGTCACAGAATTTTCCAGTTAGAAGAGATCTAAGAGATTCCTCATGCACTTAGTACTGCCTGCTTGTTTTACCAGAGAGAAAAAGAGGCCTAAGAGGCCCATGGCTCGCCAGACATTATGTTTGCAGAACTTGTCCCAGTGCAGTAAGCTTCCTACTCCGCCATGCCGCCTCACTGTCCTCATCTGACAGGACTGAAAGTCCCTAATAATATTCTTTTCAAATGGCTTACAAAGCTCAGCTTGAAAAATGAACATTAGCAAAATCTCATCTAAGTCACTTTCTCAAAAACTAGCATCCAGATGCTTGTAAATTATTTATTTTTTATGACTTTAAAAAAGCAAAGTGATACATTAGAACAGGAGTTTTTTAGTTTTAAGAGTTCTTCAAGATGAGAGAGCCCTGTGTGGTTACTGTCACCAGCTCTAAGGGAAGTTCTCATGGAGCATTTTGAGTCTGCATTGTAGCCACATGAATACATTAAAGTTGCAAGTTTAACTTGATTAGTTTGTCCTAATTCTCTTTCCCTGCACAGATGTTTAATTTTTCAATAATTATTTATTCAAATTTTGTTGAGCCCCAACCAATTTTAATTGGCCATTTTATTTAAAAACTTAGTGTGGTTCTTTTAGTTGAATGTGTAAAAATGCTACAGAAAAAGACCTTTCAAACACAGTCATGAATTTGCTAAATCGAGAACTTCATTATACTTTGCATTTGTCATTCCTGGTTTTCATATTTGTAAGAACCTACCTGTTACCAGCACAAGTTTTCAGTTTACAGTGCAGGACAGTGGTCATACAAACAAAGTGTCCCCACATGGGAGCTAGGAGGTCAAGGTTCAGGTCCATGTGCACATGTGTGGGAGGACAAGCCCCACTCAGACATCCCTCCTAGCGACACAGCCCTGAGCAGGGGCACCTTGAGCAGAGCGACAGTATTGGGATGAAAGGACAGTCTTTCTCTACCAAACTGCCCTAGTGCCATATGTGATCACATTGCATCTACCAGAGTGCCATCTGCTGTGCTCTCTTGCGTTTTGAAAGAATTAATATGTTGATGGAATATAAACAGCTTCAAGAACCTCAAGGCCTGTTCTTTCAACACTGTAATTTTAAAGGCAAATTCTGTTTCTGTCCTCCAATTCAGTATCTTAAAGGTAGACAAATGTCAGGAGGAGCCACCTGAACCATGATTTAGCCACTCACCCTGCACCCCCACCCCATGTCACCAAGGAGAACAGGAGATTCAGACAGGGGCATGTCAGTTGGGCCCAGATTTCCCTTAGAAGCGTTGCTGGCTACCTGTCCAGGCTCTGCCCACAGCTAACAGGTGGCCTTGGCCATGCCAGTCTTGAGGCCAGAGGACCTAGGGGAGCCCTTCCAGCCAAGGGGCTCTACATCTCATTAGACTTCAGCCCCCTGTACCAGTCCCTACCCACACTGTGGGGCAGTGGGCAGGCAGGTGGGAGAGCAGGTGTGGGCACCACATAAGCTCCCATCAGCACCAGGGTAGGTGCACTTTCTGCCAGGTTGGCTTTGAAACATGTTTGATTAGACTGGCTCTCCTTCCATCTCTGGTCTTAGCTCAATATGTTTACTGATGTTCATGAATGTCATCTTTAGCTAAAAAACTAAACGCTAGTCATCATTGCTTAGAAAGAAAGGAGGACAATTGCAAAGCAATCCCATCTCTATGGGCATATGCTTTGCACTTCCACGCCTGTTTTTCATGTTCATAGAACCTACCAGTTACCACACTGTCCCAGGGCCCCCAGGTACTTTCCCAGGAGGCGCTGGCTGAGACCAAGTGCCCTGGGCCCTCCTAGGGCTGTCCTCAAGCAGGTGGCCGTCCCTCCGGACCTGGGCTTAGTTAGGGAGCCAGTCCTATGCGATTCACATCCCGCCACGCCACCTCACAGCTCGGTGACCACACACTGGGAATAAGACGCTGTCCTTATCCCCACTCACGGGTGAGGGGTTAAAGCTGAGGAGGGTGAGTGACTTGCATGGCAGGTGCCACGAGAAGCTGATAGGAATCTGCCTGTAGCCTGCTGGCTGCTTCCCGAGCCGCCCCTCCCAGCAGCCTCCGAGCTGGTCCACTGGGTTCCCCCGGGAACCGGCATCCAGCTTCAGAGGGGGAGCACCGGTGTCTTTCCAAGAAATAGCACAGGGCGAGGGGCCAGTTTCGTGTGGAGCGCACCCAGCTCCTGGGCCCCACTCAGCGCTCTCGTCCTCTGGTGTCTGTCTCATCCCTGTGCTCCTGACTGTGCTCCACAGGCCTCTTCGGAAGCACCCGTGCACGCGGATGAAGGGAGCTCAGAGGACTTCATCCTGGTTTCCAAAGAGGACGGGGGAGGCAGTGCCAGGGCGCCCCTCTCCGGCCAGGCCCAGCCGCTCCGCACCCTCAGAAGCACATCTGGGAAGGGCGAGGGCCTGGCCCGCTTCCCGCTGGTGTTCTCCGACCCTCTGATGGGCCCGGCCTCGGCCTCCTCCAGCAACCCCAGCTCCAGCCCTGACGACGACAGCAGCAGCAACAGCAAGGACTCCGGCTTCACCATTGTGAGCCCCCTGGACATCTGACACAGAGCCCAGCCGTCCCCCTCAGCAGCCTCAAGGCCCAGCTGAGGCCCCCCCAGCGGAGACCCCTCTGAAACCAGCGCTTCTTTCCCAGCATGCAATGTGGCATCAGAGCCACCCATCAGAACCTTCAGAGAAAAGCAAATGGCGCCGCAGAGCATACAGACTGATGGTCACCAGGATGCAGACAGGGCTTTAGGCTCATCCCTAACCCCTCCCCACCCCCTCCCTGAGGTAGAACTGGGTTAAGGGTCCAGTTCCACACTGTTCTGTGCTCCCCAACGATGGTGTGGCAACTCCACCTCTTATACCCAGAGGAAGAAGAGTTGGTTTCCAGTCTTCCCTCCCTCAGAGCATCCGGGAGAGAAAACAGATGGAGAGAAAAGAGATAGATAGCAAGGACACTCTCTCCCTGGAAAGCTGTCTCAGCCGATTTCCTTTCTCCCTTGGGCTCTCATACGACAAAGCCCGATGCACCAGAAAGGGACCAGGGTCCCGGGGCTGGAAGAAAACATTACTGACCTCTCAGTAGTTCCAGTGATCTTTAGAAACGGGGTCTGAACTTACGGCTCAGTTAGGTGTGATGAGTTTAGGTTTTTTCATTGTTAAAGAATGCGTTTCCAGGCCTCCAGCCAGATCCCTCTGGCCATCCCTGCCCTCCTCACACAATCATGCTTCACCTGCGAAAACAAGGTCGCCGTGAGCAGGCCTGCCCTGGGGACTGGCTCTCCGGGCTCCTCTGAGACGGCGAGGCCTCTGGCAGTGGGTGCTTTCCTGGCAACAGACACCCTTCCCATCCCGCCACCGTGACCATGATTCCTCTACACAACTGTGATGGCAGGCCCTCCCACTCCCGCTCCAGAAAATGGTGGACTCGCGAGCCAGAGGGGCTTCTAATGGCTCTGCAGTTAGTCCTTAAACTCTAGCAGGGACATCTAGCACACAGCCTGCAGGGTGAATGGTACTCCAGGTTGTGAGATGCGCTGATTAGCACGGCCCAGCCTGCGTGGTCCGCTCAGCGCCTGTGGGGGTGACTCGCTGAGTAGGTTGCTGCAGTGTCCCCTTAATACTTCCTGAGCCCCCGAGGTCCCGTGGTGAGGGGCCTTGCCGCTGTGCAGGACCTGGCTGGGAAGGTTCTAGAGGGCGGCGCTGTCCTTGCTGGGCCCGTGGAGCTGGCTGTCTCCTGGCGGCAGAGCAGGGTCGTCTGCTTACTTTCAGCATTTCTTCTGCCTGAGAGCCAGAGTCATGAGAGCAGTGTCACTGGCCCCACAGCGGCCACCGGACACCACCCCTCCGAGAAGCTCTGGGCTGGTTCCTACACCAAGGTCACTGAGACCTTAGCCCTGCCAGACGCAGGCGGGTCCTCCATTCCGGGCTTCCATGTCGGTGCCACACGAGAGCCATCGGGGTCCCTCAGAGGCATTGCTTCTGTGGCCCCAACAAACTGCTCACGCCTCAGAGGAAGGAAACCCATGGGGAGGGGAGGTGCAGACATAGCCACCCTCAAACTCCCATAGGTTTATGGGGTCTTACCTTTTTTAAGTGACTTGTTTTTATTCTTCATAATTGAGCATTGTTTGCATTTTTATTAGTTACAGTGCTGTTAAAGAATTTATGTTCCTTTTTATTATTTCATCAGGTACTTAGGTGTAATGGCACAATTTTAAAATCCCGAATATATATTTTTTTCTTTAACAAATGTGATAATCATTGCAACCCTCTTGTGTTTTGATCATCAGCAGTTAAATTTTATATACATAAAGCTTAGATTAATTCTCATTGTCATCTACCTTTTTTATACATGCCCCTCCCTATGTTCATGCATTCCTCTCGGATCATTGAGGAATCTGAGTGAGGTTACATGTGGACCTTACCCGTGGAGTTACAGCTTAGGGAAAGGAAGTCGTGATGACCCTGCCTCACCTTGTGTGGCTGCCAAGGGGTCATACAGACTCCGAACTCTTCGTTATACTGGACTCTACGGAGATGGCCTCCGCTCACGGCAGTCAGTGAGAACGAATGTGACTAACAGTAAACCCAGCCTCCCCTGCATACAACTGAGCAGGATCTCGTACATCATTGGGGGGGGGGGGGGGGGGTGATTGTTCACCATTAACAAGAAGTAGACGACAAACGGTTACAAAATTCTGTGGCAGTTCTATTGTCTCCTAATGATAACCTGCCAGAGTGAACCCAAATTTATTCTTTTTGTTTCTATTGTATTGTTTCTTTAAAAGCCACCCCAGGGGTCATTACAGAACAAGAGTGGATGGAGGACACGCGGAGTGGCTGTCCTGTGGAGCCCGCCACAGCCGCGCCATCCTCCTCCCGCAGATGTGCATCTGCCCCGGCCCCACACAGGGCCGGGTCCGTGGGGCGGGAGAGGCGGCCGGATGAATTGGGGCAGCAGCTGGCAAGCCAGGCTTCCTTCTCTCAGGCCAAAACCCTTCCTCGGTATTCCTTTCAGAAGCTCTTTTTATCGTGTTAAAATGAGATATAAGGTTCCTATAAACAGGATTGAACCACTTTGATGTAAAAGTTGTCATAACAATTTTCTCACAATGGCACAGTTCATTTGATTTATGGGTACTCAGTCGTGCCGTTTATATCTGTTGCTTTTTTCTCATTCATCTTTATGCTATAACTCATACTGACTCAGAAATGACTTATCCTGTTGGCAAAGTGATCCCATTCCCTATAGTTATAATAAAAGGCTAATGTGGAATGAGAGCGCAGCTTGACTTGTTCCAGGCGGGGTCGGGGCACAGGATGCTGGCCTGCCTCACCCAGTGGTGCCGTGGGTGCCCAGCAGGTGGGGCGGCGCCCACACCACCGCGCAGGGCCGGGGTACCCAGGCCTGACTCAGGGCTCACACCCAGCTCCCATCCCTTTCTCTCCAGGTGAGGCAAGTTGCTTAACCTCTGGGGCCCCAGCCTCTTTCTCTGCACACGGCTAACCCTAAGTCGCCTACTTCACAGGGTGTGCTGAGGATTAAACAGGGCAACTCACTTAAAGCACGCAGAACAGGGACACGTGGCGAAGTGCAGTGTCGTAGGTGGTGCTGGCTCCCAAAGAGCCCCCGGAGGCCGTGCAGCCCCACCCTCCCACTGACCTGGGCCCTGGAGGCCTGGCCGTGGGCCCTGCAGCAGCTCTGCTCAGCCTGCTGGTCTCAGAGGCCATTTGGGGGGGAGGGGAGGCGACAGGTTCCACCTCCCCACACTCCCTCAGCACCAAGTTTGTCCTGGGGGGCCTCACTGACACCAACTAACGGGTTTGGAAAGAGGCAGGGCGGGGCGGGGTGCACTCCAAGCCGTGCATGACAAACTGGGAAGGCACGGGCAGCCTGTCAGCTTCCGCAGAGCCGGGGACAGGGTTCCCTCCCTAACAGGCCTCTGTCCCAGGCCCAGCCAAGGGGCCTGCCCTCCCAGGGGTCACCCCCACCCCCTCCCCAAGGGACTTCCTTAACCACAGGCTCTGCCATGGAAAGGCGGAGCCGGCACGCGTCCCCCATGGCTCGTGCTGCTTCCCTGACCGGTGCCCACACGGGCACCCCCCACTGGCACAGGCCGGGAGCAGAGGCCTGTACAGCCTGTGTGCCTTGGGAAGACCCTCGGGCCGCCCTTCCGGAGCCTCTACCTGAGAGCCCCCCCCCCCCCCACACACACACACACACACACACACCCGCCCCAGAAAGCTGCTCCGCTGCGGGAAGCTGGCAGGAATGACACCTCCGGAGCAGCTCCCACCACGGCTGAGCAGGCGAGTGAGGGCGCCTCCCTGCCCTGGGTCCCCTCCCCACCTGCTCCTGCTGCGCCTCCTCCCAGTCACAGCCACGCTGGGGTCTCAGGGCTGGAACTCGCACTGACACCTCGGCCCTGGCCCGCCCTCCGCTGGGGTGACGGGTGCGGGTGGTTCGGGTGGGTCCCCAGTCCCTGCAGACGAGGCCCCTCCCTGGCCCGATCAGCAGAGGAGGTGTCACCAGCCCCGGCTTGTTCCCAGGCCCCCGCGTGGCCGCTCCTAAGGTGACGCTGCCCACGCGGATCGTGCGGTGGAGGAGCTGTGGGCGGCTGCGTTTCTCGGTAGCTGGCCTCCCAGGCAGCAAGCTCAGCCTCGCAAGGATGTGCCCGGCACCGAGTCTGGGCTCTGAGAGGCCCACCGGGTGGTGAGGAGGGTGCTGGGGGCGGGGGGGGGGGGGGGCGCCCAGAGAATTCGCCCAACGTTGGTTCACTTGTTCCTTCAGCAGATCCGGCGGAACCCCTCAGAGTGAGGCCACGCGGTGCAGGGGACACAGGTGCCCCTCGATTTGCCAGGAAAGGATGGAAAGAGCCCTGAAAGGGTTTAAACTCAAAGGGAGCGCAGAGGAGGTCCTCCCTGCAGCCTGGGAGGCCCCCGAGGCCCAGAGGTGAGCCTGGTGGGCAGCGCCCGGGGAGTCAGCCAGGCCTGCCTGCGGGGAAGTGAGGGCTCCGCCTCCTGCTCCGGGGATGCTGGGTCTGAGCGCGGCCCAGCCAGTGCCTTTCCCGCGGGCACGGGCGTGATGGGCAGGCCCGGCGCTGAGGACTCGGTGCCGCCCATCATTCAGGTCCATCCAGACAGCGTGCTCAGCCGTGGGGGGGGCGGGGGGGGGACCTCAGAGGCTTCCGGGGCCTGACCTGACTCGGAATGGAGGGATATGTCACCAGGCACAACTGCAGGGGTGACGGGGCTGCAAGGGGCGTCCCTCCCGTGGGCTCCTCCAGGGGAAGGACAGCCAGCGAAGGCCAGGCCAGAGAGGAGGGCACCGTCCACAGCCCTTCCAGCGACGTGCTCCCCTCAGCACCGAATCCCCACCTCCTGCCCCTCGGCCTCTGGCCCTGGTCCCGCATCCATCCAGCTGTCCAGACACCACTGGTCCCCACACGGCCTCCGTCCTCGTCCCACAGCTGGACAGACCCCTTTCCCCACCTCCCCCACAGCGGAGGCCTCGTCCCCTGTGGGCCTGGCCAGTGGTCCCGCTCCTCTGACTGCCCGTCCCACCTCATCAGGAAGCAGATCTGACCAAGGGCCGTCCTCCAAGCCCTCAGATGAAGGGCAGCTCCCTGGACCCCCCAATGCCAACCCCACGGGCCGTGCCCCAGCCCCCCTGGCCGCCTCCTGCTAGTCCCTTTCCCAGCTCATGGCCGCGCCCAGGCTGCGTCCTCTGTCCCAGGCACCCTCGCTGCTCTTCGACTTGCCCGTGGTGAATGCCACCTTCAGTGGCCAGCTGCCCTGGCGAGGTTCCACCTGCCCCTCTCGGCCATGTCTCTGCTTTCAGGGGGTCCTATTGTTAGATTCCACGCTGTCCACAGTGCCAGTCACTGGGGCTGCACTTCACATTACCCTCAACGTGGCGGCATAAACAATCACCTACTACGCTCAGGGGCTGTGTGGGTCAGGAAGACAGAGAACATGGTTGGGACGGTTTATCACGGTGCCTCCAATGTCTGGGGCCTCAGCTGGAAGACTCAAGGGCCAAACTCACTGCAGCAGAACACGGAGGCCAGGTCCCTGGGTGTGAGTTCCTGTGGGCGTGTGGCTCACCAAGGGCCCTGGTAGCATGGGAAAGGCTGCTGCTGGCTTCTCAGAATCCGGTGCCTCAGAGAATTCAGAGAAACTCAGACTTTCAGAGAAAGTCTGGCTGTGTGCTGCAGAGATGTTAACCACAGAGCCAAGCGGGGCAGGTGAGAGCTAGTTCAGCAGAGCCAGGAGGAGGTCGCCCTTCCTGCCCCACTGTGGGTGGAGGTCCCCCCCACAGAGCAGATGTCAGACCCCTGAGGTGCGTGCGTAGGTCGGAGGAGCACTGTACCACGAGTCCGCAGCCCAGCAGTCATCTCTGCCCCGTTTCTGTGCACAAAGCCTACCAAGACCTCACGGCCTTGACCCTCCTGCGCAGACAGGGTTTGGCACCAGCTCATTCAGGAGACTTTGGGGAGCCCCTCACCCTCTTTGACACTCGGTTTCTCCATCTGAAAAATAAGATGGTTAGATTAGATCAGGTGCTTTTTTCAAACTTTTGACCATACCCACATTAAGAATACATTTCTCAGTACACTACACTTGCTATAATTCACGGGTCCCACAACAGTAGTGGCTTAACAAGAAAAGTTCATTTCTCACACACCTGCAGTGCGAGGGCTCCTGGTTTGTGGATGGCTCTCCTCCATGTGGTGATGATTCAAGGACCCAGCCACCTTGACCCCAAAGTAAATGTCACTTTCAACCACATTAGCAAAAGCCAGTCACCCAGGAGAACACTCTAGGAACACAGCTATGCAATAGGAGGGAGCCAGCTACCTGTGCCACACCCTGATGTTCCCACAGATCATTCCTTCCCACCCCGCCCCCCGCCCTGCCCCTGTGGCCCTCACCCCTGGAAAGGTCTGGTCTACCCACCTCATTGCTGATGTTCCCTCAGATCTGCCGGGTCTGCAAAACACATTCTAAAAGCTGGTACTCTTTTCTCAGAAATACCTGGGAACGTGCCCCACATCTGTCCGGGACTCAGTTCATGATGTATGACCCAAAGTGACACTGGGACTCAGGCCCTTTTCTCGGAACAGACAAATCAGACTTCCGTGAGTGACCCAGAGTTTCCTATATAGATCTAACTAAACGTTCCACCTGGTTTTGCTCCATGTGCTGCAATTTGTGCAACTCTCTGTGATACACCCAGAGCAAGGAGCTCTCCTGGGAAAGGTAAGCAATAGCAGGAAGGTGGGATTGTGCAGCCAGTGGATCTGGGTTCCAGAAGGGCCTCTCCACACACACTGTGTGCCCTTGAGAACTCGCACAACCTCTCTGAACCTCCATTTTCCCACCTGGAAGCCAGATACATCGCCTGCCTCGTGGGACGCGTGTGAGGAGCAGATGAGTTAAAGTAAGTAAAGGGTCTGGCTCATGGGGCGTGTCCCCCCCTGCCACCACCTGCACAAGGAGGGGCTGCATAAACATCTATATTGAGGGTGGAGACATCACTGCCCTCTGTGCGGAGCCAGCTCAGCCAAGGGTTCGAAAGCCTGAGTGAGGGTGGTGAAGGATGGAGAAATGACAAAGAGAATAAGCTGGGTCTGGGTGGATCTTCCTGTGCCTGGCTGAGGCCACAGAGAGAGACCCAGAGGCAAGCTGAGCCTTTATTTTATAGCCAGAGGTAAACAAGGTAGTGGTTACCATAGTTACAATGTTCTTGTGAGTTTCACTTGTTTTAGCAGCACTTGCTGCACCTCCCACAGCCCATTAGCTACCCAGGAAGGATCTAGGGAGGTCATAAACTCAAGCCTAATTATGCTAAGAGGACTGTGCCCTCTAAGCTGGGACTTGTTTGGCTTTGCCAATAGGTCAGTCCGAGGCTTAACCCTATAGCCGCGCCCTACAGCCTCCAACACGGATGTGACAGGCCACACCAACCTTTACCGGGAGTCTACAGGTGGTGACTGAGGTGTGTCCCGAGGGCAGCCCAGCCCAGGGACTGTCCCAGGGGAACTTCCCACCATGGAGCCCCTGGAAAGTCTGAG